TGTTTTTTTTTTTTAATATATTTTTATTGATTTCAGAGAGGAAGGGAGAGGGAGAAAGAGATATAAACATCAATGATAAGAGAGAATCATTGATTGGCTCCCTCCTGCACCCCCCCTACTGGGGATCGAGCCTGCAACCTGGGCATGTGCCCTTGACTGGAATCGAACCTGGGACCCTTCAGTCCGCAGGCTGACACTATCCACTGAGCCAAACCAGCTAGGGCTATTATGTGCAGTTTTTTGTATACCAATTATACCTCAATAAGCTAGGGGGAAAAGAAGCCCACCTGTACTCCAATGCACAACAATAAGTAGGTCAAGAATTCACTACAGTCCTGTAAATAGCTTATGAACCTTTCCATTTTTAACACATTAAGCGCCCAGGCTGTTTTGTCTTCTGGACGGAAAGTATAGTGTCAGTCACCGGTGAATGACATGGGGCTTAACGTGTTAAAAAATTGTGTTGTAAGGCACCATCCAATTTTAAATTTACAGCCTTCGCTATATCTAGCAACAGCAACTACAGCATTTATACTACCATCAATTAAAGAGGTCTGGATTACTACCGCTAAAAAAAAAATGGGACTGTATTATACTGTCCTAAAATGAAGGAGTCAGAAGAAAAAGTATGATTTGTATGCTACTACACAGAAAAATGAAGTCTATGTTCTTCCCAATGTTGGGTTATTCCTTTTTCACACATGGAATGTGCAAGAGCAGGGGGTGGTAAGGAACGAGTGGGAGAGATGGCATGCGGCACTTAATTTCAGTAAATACTTTAGAAAACTAAAGTATTTAGAGATGACTAAGCAGCTTTCAAATAAGGCACTCTTGATACTGCCTAATGGAATGGCAAGGATATGTTTTTGTAGACTATAAACATACATATAATTGTCAGTGAAGTCATTAAGTGCCAACAAACAAGCTATTCTTCCACTGCAGTAACCACAATGCCCTGTTCAGTTTTGCGTCATATTTCTCAGCAAGACCAAAAGACTAAGAAATCAGATGCCCATGGAATTCCTGTGGAATATTTCATACAAATATGTATTATTAAACAATAACACAATACTGACATGTTATATGTGTGCAAAAAACTCATGCTGCATATCCTTTGTACAGCAAAAAATGTATTTCCAATGTCTCATATCTATAATTCCAAGGCTGTATGCTCCTGACATTTAAATTTCTAATCTATGCCTTGCTATTTTGGCTATATATGAGTATACCTAGATCACATATTGGAACAGGATTCACTTTGTTATATATGTTATGAATACCAGCAATAAAGTAATCAATCTTAAAAAAAATATGGCAATACAATTTCTGGTTTGTGGTCTGGCATGTAAGAGTTTGGAAAGTGTCATTCCTGCCCACACAACAGGAAAAAGTTAACAAAGTGAAAACCAACAATTCTTACAGCCATTCGAGAATTGGGATCACAGAGAGAACCACTGCCCCTCAAATTGGAGAGAGAGGCAGATATAAAAATCACAAGTTACCATGAGGTGAAACCTCCAAGGGTATCCAGGACCAGTGTAGGAAAACCTAACCTGTAACTGTTGAACTGCTGGAGGATTAGCGTAGACAAGTCTGACAGTAAAAAACCTCACGGGTCCAGTCTTAGGGGGACCCCACACTTCTGTGAGTTTTGCCTCCAGGAACTCTACCATGTTCTTCAAGTGCACATCAGAGAAAGGTCTCCCGTGTTTTTCAGCAATGAGTGGGGAATGGGAGCCATTTGTAAGTAAGCCAGAGCATTCTGTTCTTAACAAAACCTATCCTGAAGAGAAACTACTTCACCAGAGCCCAATCGATGGGTTTTACTAGAAACTAACCAGCTCTGGGGAAGAGAATTATCCAACTCTAGCCCACACTAGCCTTCCACATAGGGAAAAAGAAATACCCAACTCCAGTCCCCTCTAGCCTTTTTGTATGAACTAAGTAAAAACCAAAACAAAACTGAGAAGTACTTGTGTTCATCACAGCCCAGGGGCAGACTCACTAAGACTGAAATCTAAGCACAGCAGTACATAAAGTTTCCTCTTCCCCACCACCTCACCATCATCTGTAACATGGCTCCTATATAATAGGGGAATATTTAAGAAGTCTCTAGGGAAACTCAAAACACATACAAGGATACTGAAGGAAATTTTACCCTCACCTACAGCTACAGCAAACAGTATGGTCTAACCCCTATCCAGATAAATATAAAACCTCATAATAAAGGCCTATTTACTTCACTTCCTTTTACCCAGAATTATCATGTCTAATTTCCAACAAAAAATTACAAGGAATATTAAAAACAAAATGGCAACAGGATTCAAGTATTCCATAATCTTTAAAAATGTTTACACATTCATTTTATGTTTAAGTAAATTACAACCTATCCCTTTAAAGCAGTGGTTCTCAACCTTCTGGCCCTTTAAATACAGTTCCTCATGTTGTGACCCAACCATAAAATTATTTTCGTTGCTACTTCATAACTGTAATGTTGCTACTGTTATGAATCGTAATGTAAATATCTGATATGCAGGATGGTCTTAGGCGATCCCTGTGAAAGGGTCATTCGACCGCCAAAGGGGTCGTGACCCACAGGTTGAGAACCGCTGCTTTAAAGTCAGGAGAAGCAAGGATGCTCAAGCCTTAATGATACTACTCAACATCATAATACTGGAGATCTCAGTCAATGCTGTAAGATATCAACAACACAAAAGGTTTATGTATCAGAAAAAGGTTTAAAAATGTCACTATATCGACATATTTAGAAAATATAAAGTGTTCAGTAAGGTTTCTGCATAAAAAATTGGTACATAACATTATTAGTTTCCTATACATTAGTACAATCCAATTAGGAAATGTCAAAGACAGAATTTAAAGCAGAATAGTAATATAAAATCCATAAAATATCTAAAACAAAGTTAATAAGAAACATGCAAAAATTACATGAAAAGGTCTATACAAATTAAGACACATGCCATGTTTCTCAATGAGATTACTCAATTTTAAAGATGTCAATTCTCACCCCTTATTCTAAATTTAATGCAATCCTAAAGTAAACACCTATAAAAATATGCATTATGAAATATCTCATACAAATAAAAACATGAAGAAAATAATAAGGGCTCAAATAATAATCCAACTTAAAAAATAAGACATTACCAATACAGTTGAAAAAGATCTATGAAAGAGATCTCTTCTATGAAGCAGCAAAATACACTAACACCAGCAATTAAAACAATATGGTAGTACCAGTATATGTGTAAACACATGTACCAAAAGAAATGTATTTCAGAAATGGACTCTTAAATATATGAAAGCATAGTATATAATAAAGATGACATTTCAAATCACTAATAAAAAGATTAGCTATTTAATGAACTGTCTTTAGATAGCTGATTAGCATGAAAGAATAGTTAAACTCCCACCTCACACCACACAAATCAACCAATATTCCGCATTTCACAGATCAAAGCGCTAAATATAAAAACCAAAATTATAAAAGTAGTAAACAGAAAGATGGTGGACATGGAACACCAGGAATGTGCATCGCCACCCAACAACCACAGGGACAGAATCAGCCTGATGTAACTATTTTCGAACTCGAGTCTGTTCAAGGATTACAACCACCAGCGGAAGGCTTGAAAGGTAAACCACAGTAATTTCAGGCAATGTCAGCCCTTAGCACAGTAGCATTACCCATCAGCCAGCTCTTGCTGTGTTCCTAGAGCAGCTCACACTCAGCTATGGTAGCCAGAGTAGGCAAAAAGGACCCGGTCCTCCAAATATCTCCACTTCTGATCACAGAGAAGAAAGAGATAGGCAGCCAGTGTTGGAACACCTCCCCACACTGTTTGTTGCAAGCCCCTCCTTGTCTGGCTGCAGTGACTTCCAGGGGATTTAAAAAGCTAGCACCTGCCCGGCCAGTGTGGCTCAGTGCTTGAGCATCAACCCATGAACCAGGGAACCAGGAGGTCAGGGTTTGATTCCCGGTCAGGGCACATGCCTGGGTTGCAGGCTTGATCCCCAGTAAGGGGCGTGCAGGAGGCCGTTGATCAATGATTCTCTCTCATCACTAATGTTTCTCTCTCTCCCCTCCAAAGGGGTCGCGACCCACAGGTTGAGAACCACTGGTCTAGATGAACAGAAAATTGGAGGTTGGAGGGCAGGATTTCAGTAGAGCTAACAATGTGTGCATAGTTTAGAGGCACAAAAAAGTGGGGCATGTGCCAAAAAGAAGTCAGCCAAGACCACTTTCTACCTAATATGACTTTGGGCAAAAAAACTGGATCTATTTCAACTGGAAAAGAAGGATAATGGTATCTTCCTCCAAGGGTTTCTGTTAGGAAAATGAGATGGTAAACTGAAAAAATGTGAGTGCAATCTGGTCTGGCTGTCACATCTTGCACCCCTGATTTCCAAGGCCAACTGAGCTGTTTTAGCTCCTTCTCTCACTTTTCCTCCAGAAGTCATCTACTTGGTGAAAGAGCACAGCCTTCCCAGTTATGTACAATGGTCTAGCACAGTTTATGACACCATTTACTCAAAAAAACATTAATTTACCCCCCCCCCCTTTTTTTTACCAGATTTTCAGAGATCCAAGGGTTTCTGTTAGGAAAATGAGATGGTAAACTGAAAAAATGTGAGTGCAATCTGGTCTGGCTGTCACATCTTGCACCCCTGATTTCCAAGGCCAACTGAGCTGTTTTAGCTCCTTCTCTCACTTTTCCTCCAGAAGTCATCTACTTGGTGAAAGAGCACAGCCTTCCCAGTTATGTACAATGGTCTAGCACAGTTTATGACACCATTTACTCAAAAAAACATTAATTTACCCCCCCCCTTTTTTTTACCAGATTTTCAGAGATCCATTGAACTACTCTCTGTGACACTCCTTAGAACTGCCCTGCAATTACTGCTAGGGTCTTGATTCTCAACTTGAGCACCAGCAGTATGTTTCACAAGCACCCACCCAATCTGTGCGTATATTAATTCATACTTACAGGTTGAGGCTGTTCTGCAATACAGCAGTTGAAACACAACCAGAATTCACTCATGCTTATAGTCCAAAGTATAAATGAGCACCAAGGAAGTTTCCAAATCTCTACTCGGGAAGCTTCACAAAGCACACTCCTCAGTATGATGGATGTCCAATGATGTCCAAATAATAATTTTAATACTTCCTTGTGTTTTAGTTCCTGGAAGTCAAGTATCTTATGTAGTCAAATTAATTAAGAAAAAGACAGAATGTTTCCTTTCTTTGCTTGTGGTTCTACAGAGACTCGTTTCTGAACCACCAGGAAGGTATAAATGTTGTCTTGGCTCAGGTACTCTAGAAAAAAAAGAAAAAGTAAAGAAAACAAGTTACTTTACTTATTCGTATAAGCTTTTATTTCTTTCATTTTTTTATTGTGGGCAGTATTACAGATGTCTCCCATACCCCCCCCTTTAATCCCCTCTGTCCAGCCCCTACCACCCCTCAGATCCTTACCACCCTATTGTCCACATCCCATGGGTTATGCATATAAGTATACTAGAGGCCGAAATTCATGCATGGGACAGGGGGTGGGGGTGGTGTCCACTGAGCCCAGCCTGCACCCTCTCCAATCCGGGATCCCCAGGATCGGGCCTAAACCGGCAGTCAGACATCCCTCTCACAATCCTGGACCACTGGCTCCTAATTGCTCACCTGCCTGGGGACTGCTGGCTCCTAACCGTTCACCTGCCTGCCTGCCTGATTGCCCCTAACCGTTTCTGCCTGCCAGCCTAATCACTCCCTAACTGCTCCCTGGCCAGCCCTATTGACACCTAACTGCTCCCCTGCCGACCCAATTGCCCCCAACTGCCCCCCACCTGCCAGCCTGGTCGCCCCTCGAGGCCCCCCTACCCCACACAGCCTGCTGTTCAGTCATTTGGTCATCCCTCACTAACTCCCTGCCGGCCTGGTCGTAGGTAGCCATCTTGTGAGGGCATGGGGGTTAATTTGCATATTACCTCTTTATTATATAGGATAAGTTCTTTAGTCTCTCTCTCCTCGTCCCCCCACCACCACTTTTATTTCTTAAATCTGTGATAAAATTAATAAATATTTCCCCAAAAAGTAAACACTGAAAAAAATTCAAGATTTTAATAAACTGATATTTATTCAACAAATCTTTTCAAGCCTTTTTGAGTATCCAGTTATTAGGTATATAGCAGTGAAAGAAGACAGAAATTCTTGCCTTCCCAGAGCATTCTATTTTATGACTATAAAAGTATAAGCTGTTCTAATAAGTTTTTTTAAAATTACTAATTCAAACACCATATAATAGTTCCTAATTCCAAAAAGAAATACTGATCATTTTCCTATAGGTTTCTTTAATTGAGTCCTTTGTTCTCAAAGATAACCCAGATAGTAAGTAGAATAGCAATCAACTTTTTTAGATATTCAAGCAGCAATAACTCATCAATAATTATAAAAAAATTATCACCTTCTCCATTGATATTAGAATTGTACATGAGAGATGATTAAGGGTTAGGTTAGACTGCATTTTGAATCAAGACATTAGGTCCCCGTTCCCATCATCATCAGAATGAGTGTCAGTCAAACCAGTTTACTAGGTGTACCAGTTAATAAAGAGGATTTTTTTCAATAGATGGAGTTACACATATGTTGACATATATGCGATTTGAAATGTATGCTATTTTGTTGTATTGACAGCAAGCTTCAAAACTTCATATGTCAAATTTGCTGAAGGTGTTAACATCATAGATATTTTTACGCTTAAAAATGTCAAATTTCATGCCCCAAAAAAGAGCATTTGCAGGAAGTTTTAATTCATTACTTTATTTTGAAGAAAAAGTTATCATATACTTCGGGAAGCTTATGGTGAACATGCTCCATCTCAAGATACTTGTGAACGCTGGTTTAAACGCTGTGAAAGTGATGATTTCCATGTGAAAGACAAAGATCGTCCAGGTCAACCGAAAAAGTTTGAAGACCAACAATTACAAGCATTATTGGATGAAGATGCGTGTCAAACTCAAAAACAACTTGCAGAAAGATTAAACGTTGCTCAGCAAACATTTTCTGATTGTTTACAAGCAATGGGAAAGATTTTAAAGGAAGGAAAATGGGTGCCACATCAACTGAACGAAAGACAAATGGAAAACCGAAAAGTAAAAGTCATCAGTAAAATGTTGCTTCAACAGCACGAAAGGAAGTCTTTTTTTTTTTTTTTTTGCATCGAATTGTGATTGGTGATGAAAAGTGATTTTGAGAATCCCAAATGCACAAAATCATGGGTTGA